CTGCACTATAATAAGTTTTACCTAGAAGTACTTAAGGGTTTTGTATGTCATCTTAATGAACGTTGTGGCCCCCAGCCATCTTTGGACCTCTACAGAGGTGCATGCTCCTGTGCTAGGCTGGATGTTATTGTGATTTATCACTGTGCTTATGATTATGCCCAGGCAAGTGCTTTAGGGATTTGGAGAGGCACTTTAGTGTGGTGCTTAAGAGCATGGACTTGAGGTGGTCAGACTGCCTGGGTTCCAGTTCTGGCTTTGCCACTTACTGTGTGACCTTAGGCAAGTAAAAGTTATTTAACCTCTTTGTTTCAGTTTATCTGTGAAAGAGAGGTAATATTGTCTCTATTTCATAGGATTACTATGAGAATTAAATGAGTTGATATTTACCAAGTGCTTGGAAGAGTACCTGACATATCTTAGGTTTGTTTAGTCGTCACATGAACCTCTCATTTATTCCTCATAATAATCTTTAGAGGATAGCATTCACATTTTATAGATGTTAAAAGTGTAAGGCTCAGGGAGATTATGTAATTTGCTTAAGGTCACACAGCTAGTTATGTGGATCTGGGGTTTACATTCTGGGCTGTCAGACTCCAAAATGGGTGTTGAGATTGTAAGTTCCTATTTTAAATAGCCCTTACACTTGGACGTATCCCTTGGCTGTTATTTTATCTAATCTAGCCCTTAATGCGTCATGTCAAGAGTGAGTGAGACTTTATGCTTTACAGAACTTGCTATATAGTCAAGGATGTGTAGAAGAGTAATCAGACATGATTATAATGGGTAAAAAAGACGTATGTGGGATTGCCTTACCTGTTGCTAAGATACTGAAAAGTAGAAGTTGTCTAAATTTATGATACTTAAGCACCCCTCCCCCCCAAAAAACAACCCCAGTTAAGATACATAGTTTAGAGTCAGTTGTATGTGAATGTAACACATACCTGTTTGGGTGAAAGAACATCACCGGGAAAGGAAACACTGTAATAATTATGCTTGGAAAAGTGTAAATTAATATGGGGAAAACCTGAAACTGATAATTTAAAATATATGCACTAAAGTCAAATATGGAATGAAACATTCTCATTAAAAACACATACACCAGAATAATTTATTTATCTTGGCTGTGTTTTAAAAAGCTTTACAAAAACTTACTGAAGCAATAATTGTCTGTGTTTTGGTGGTTTCATTGAATTTTTTCAAAAAGTATTTGAAAACCAGCAATACTACAAAAAGAGCAGCAGACTGATCATGATAAATATATAAGTATAATCCAGAAGATGCTAAAACACATTAATTACATCTTCTATGGCTGATGAGGAAAACAGCCAATGTATATGAAGCAAAGACTCCATTTCAGTCAGTCTTTACAAGAAACTTTACAAAAAAAGGCATTTTGTTCACCCATCCTATTACTTAAAAAAATGCAGAGGAAGACAAATGGGAAGTACAAATCCACATCTATGAATGAAGCAAAATAAATAAAATGACAGAACCGTGGATTGGTGACATGTAAGGGTAGCCTGTGTGTTCATCCATTGCTGCTGTGTAAGTGTCTGGAAGTCTGACGTGTCTGAACAGTGATATGGTGCCACAGAATGAAAACTGTAAAATCCATGTTCTTTGATCTAGTATCATACCATTTTTGACAAATGGTATTATGGATAAACTTTTTCTTCTGGGGCGCCTGGGTGGCTCATATGGTTAAGCGTCTGCCTTTGGCTCAGGTCATGATCTTAGGGTCCTGAGCCTCCCTGCTCAGCGGGACGCCAGCTTCTCCCTCTGCCACTCCCCCTGCTTGTGCTCTCTAGCTCTCTCTGTCAAATAAATAAAATCTTAAAAAAAAAAAAATCCCTTTTCTTCAAAGGTGTTTCTAGTTGTATTATTTATAATTAGCCAATAACTGGAACCCTTCCTGATTTTTAATAGCTCAGCAAAAGTTTGTTCGAATATAAATTTACATTTTCATTATTCAGATTCCTTAAATAGTATCTAAAATATGCTTCTGAGTGATCAAGAATACCAAACATACGTGATGCTTGCGTTAATGTAAAATAATTTATTAATACTGATAAAGGTTCTACACAAATCTTCTTTCTGGATACTGCTTTCTTTACCTGTAAAATGAAGGTGTGAGGCAAAATGATCCTTGACACTGATTCTATGGTCTGTGGACCAAGGATCACAAGAGGTGATGGATTCTTGTAATTATTTGTCGTAGCCATGGACTTGCTCCTCAATCTGTGGTTGAGCATAGTGCCCAGTCTTTGTGTAGGATCTCAGTAAGTCAGTGGAGGATGGGCAGATGGGCAGATGGATGAATTAATTAATGCCTGGTCTTATGATAGTATTTTTTATTTCCTAAAATTTTTTTCCAGTTTTACTGAGTTATATTTGACGTATAACTAGTTTTTCTTTTGTAAAGCTAGTTAAATAAGGAACAAATGATATTTTTGCAGTTTTTCTTTTCCAGTAAGCCTCTTGTTCTTATTATGAAACTATATAAATGAACTAATATCTTAACATTTATTGAGCACTTACTGTGTACTACTTTTCTAAGTGTTTTTCATAGATTTAATCCTGATAACAGTCCTACTAGGTAATAGTTATCCTCAGTTTATGGATGTAAAACCTGAGGTGCAGAGAGGTTAAGTAAATTACGCAAAGTTAGACCACCAGCAAGTTAGAGGGGGCCTGGCAGTGGTGGCAGGGCCTGCCCTCATACCTGTTCTTTTATCACAGCTTCTCATACCTCACTGCCCTGGACTTGGTGGGGCGTGGTCAGGGAGTGATGGGCATGTGTTAAGACTGGGTTGCCTGGGCAAGAATGTGGGTCATGTAAGGCTTTGCCACTAGTCCAGGCAGTTCACATGCTGGTTGGCGGTGGGGAACCCAAGCCAACTGAAAAACCTCATCTGGACGTGAAGGACCTGAAAAATGAAGGCACCCTAGGGTAAGCAGCATCTCGTAGGGGCAAAGACAAAAGCTAGGATTGTTCGGAATGAGGAATAAGTTTCGCGAGCAAGTCTTGGTTCCAAGGATCACATTTAATAGAACTGTTCAGGATTCTACCACTAAGTTCCATGCGTATACGTATTTAGCTTAGGGACTGTTGTAGGAGAGGATATAGGATATATAAGTCAAATAAGATAGAGCCTCTGTATTCCTTGGACCTTGGGTTTTTCTCACTTTGGGAGGCCACACCGTTATCATTTCTGTGGACTAGGTTATGACATTTGTGCTGCTTTCTCTTGTGTGCCTTGGTTCTTGTGTCCAGGGCATTCCCCAGGTTATGATCAGAGCTCTCAGGTTGTGAACCTCAAATTGAGGCCCTGCCTCTTTTTACCCCCATTAGCTTTTTATATCTTGGAAACCTATGCTCTTTTAATGTGGGCCACCATGAATACATAAGGCGTGGTGCCAGTGCTGGCTTATGATTTTGCACAACAATAATAGGTGTTTTTTCAGGTTAGACTCTTAACTGTTCCAGGGAGAGACTGAGAGTCCTTAAAATGTAGATGAAGAGTTCAAATCCAAAACAGTGACATTCTGAAAAGCATAGAGGAAAGTCAATTCAAGGTAGTAGATAGAATTCAGATTTCTTATTCTGAGAATAGCTATTGCCAATCCTAAGGCAATAAACAGAGGCAGCAGGGGTCAGGAAACAAATTTATAAGCCAGTGGTTCTGCTGTCCTGTTTACCACAAACATTGTCACTATCTTGCCGTCTACATTTGGTTTTATGCCAAGGTGGAATTCTTCAGTTGTTCACTTTGAAAATCCTCAGCAACATATCGGCAGTGTTTGTATCTGAAAAATGTTAGTGAAAACTTTTCAGTGTCTGAAAAGTGGTAATCTGCAGAATATAGTCTTACAGAACAGAATATCAATGAATTCTTATTTAAACTGGTGTCTGTTTTAAAAGCACTTTTTAAGAAAACTGTGTAGTCTTAAAATAAGCCTTGCTGTTTTGGAGATTTCTTTGGCTTTGTGTTGTCGACAGTAGGCTCTGCAGTCCCATTAGTATTGTCAGCTGTCAGAAGCATCTGAAGCCCAGACAAACTCCCCAGTGTTAGATTAACAAAGCACACCACCACCCTGAACCTGATGTCAAATAAAGAGGGCAGTGTGCAATTTTCGGTGCAATTCCCTTACTTGATCTTCACTCGGATTTATAGGCAAAATGGATTTTGATCTGAGGGCTCATCCCATTTGTCAGTGATTGTGACATCTAAAAGTAACCTTGGTGAATAAGACTGGTTTTAAGTCATATACTTTCAAGTATCATCTTTCCATCTAACACCTCAGTTAATCTAAAGTGATTTAATAGATGAAATAAATACCCCTGAATGATCCCTTTGTTGCCATTTATTGAGTCTTGCTGTGTTCTGAGCATTTGCTAAAAGCTTTATGTACATTTACTCAAGCCCCCATTTTAATCCTGTGATGTAATAACTGCTGTGTTCATTTTATAGATGAGAACACTGAAGGGTCCCTGGTGAGTGGCAGAGATAGTCATGTTACAGATCCAGAGTTGGTGCTCTAAGTAATCTGTGCCTTTTATCCCTAAAGTTATATTATTCTAATCAAGAACTTTGGGGGGGATATTTTATGAGAAATACTTATTGTCTTTCTTCTCGTTGAGTTCCCCACAGATCGTATTGATGTGATGTGTAATAAATACAATAGAGGAGATGAAGCATCTACTTCATTCAATAAGCATTTATTCAGATCTAATATCCTCATCTACTAGTTTCCTTCTTTTATGCTCTATTGAGATGGGGAATCTCCAGACCGGTGTGCAAAAGACAATCTGTGAAAGTGCAAGAAAATGTTACTTTGTATCTTTTCACCTCTTATTATTAAAAAAACGTGGTGTATGTTTAGAACATGTAAATAAAATACATTAGTATTAGTCAAGTACTAACTTTATTGGCCCTAAGATGTATTTTACCCCCCACATTTTAACATCTTAGGTTGCAGTGTTCCTTACATATGAATTGTAATTAGTGTTTTTTTTTTCTTGCTTAGTGGTTAATAAAATGACATTGTATCTATAATTGACGATTTCTTAGATTCAATGAAATAAAGAGGTACATGTAGCAAATTAGAATAATAAGTAGATAAATATTGGGGATGTGTGTTCATTTATTTTTTAACTAACAGGAGTGCGTAATCAAAATGGTCTTTTCGAATTTTATCTCCCTTGCTTAGAATCATGTGTGTTACCAGGTGTGCTTTTGCTGATAAAAGTGCTATCAAGTGCCTTTCCCCAAGGCATATAGTTGAGGACCATATTAGACCTGTTGAGGCAAGTACGGCCCCATCTCATGATCACTAAAGGGGTCATAGAGAACTGTGTTGCACTAGTACTGATTTCAGTGTTGTGCAGATTTCATTTGGCCTTGAAACCATCCATTGAACTCATTCTCTATAACATTTTGTCCCTGTTTATCTTCTAAATTCTCCTGAATTAATAATATTAAGCCAGTAAGCATTCAAACACTGATTGAGGCTGATCTTCACACTGTAATGTTTTCCCATCTTACAGCGTTTCCTCATCTCTTGGTGATTATTGTTGATTGATTGTTTCCAATATTGCAAGGTTTACTTTGTCCTCCAGATTATTCCCACTGACAAACATTCTTTTTCTCATCACTTTCAAAAGTGTTAAAATGATCTCTGCTTTTATTTATGTTGATCCTACATTTCTTTTTCTTTTTTTTTAAAGATTTTATTTATTTGACAGAGACAGACACAGCGAGAGAGGGAACACAAGCAGGGGGAGTGGGAGAGGGAGAAGCAGACTCCCCGCCAAGCAGGGAGCCCGATGCGGGGCTGGATCCCAGGACCCTGGGATCATGACCTGAGCCGAAGGCAGACGCTTAGGACTGAGCCACCCAGGCGCCCCGATCCTGCATTTCTTATTTGCACTACTTTTGTGTTTGTAAACATGATAAGGTTAGTCTTATTTAAAAACTCTTCACAACTAAGCCTGAAGCTGTAGGGGCTGGAAGAGCAGGTGCTGGAGTGGCTGCCTGTGACCCCCAGTGCTATCTGTTGGTAGCTGGTCAAGTTGATTCTTTTGCTCTAGAGGTTTTCTTCATGACTAAAACTGAAAACCAGAAGTTCATAAGTAGGAGTTTTCTGTATTCTGTTACAGATGAAAACTCTTACGTGATTTTGTAATGAAATTCTGTATGTAATTAAAAGTAAAGCTCTTACATTGTTTATAACCATAGTGTTAAAGGATTCTCATACTTTTCTTTTTGCCAGTATAACAGTGTATAAAATAAAATTGCCACATAGTACTTTAAAATAGCACAATAAAGCGGTTAGAGTAAAGCAGTTGGTCTTGAGAAGAAAATATTAACATTTTACAACATCCTTCTAGCAAGGTTAATGGTGTGAGTCCAGTTTTATTCTCTGAATCCCATAAAAATAAATCACTCATTCTTGCTATTTACCTGTACAAGATGTAATACAAATTAGTTTTCTTTGCATAGAGAATAAGTAGTTATCTTAGATGATAGACTATGTTAAAGAAATAACCTGCTTTATTTTTATGTCTTAGCATTTTCGTGTAAAAAGTATTTACCTTTTTTTCACTTGTTTCCAAGGGGCATGTGCTTTTCACTGTAGCTGCCCATGAGTCTTCCGTACTCAGAAGAGAATGGAAATGTATGTGGGTGACTGAATCTGACTTGAGGTAGCTTTCACAAAATGCCATTACGCTCTTCTCTTCTCTTACCTTTTTCCTACTTTTGCCTTGACACCCAGACCCTGCAGATTGCTGTGCTCGCAGAGCTCCCTCTCGCACATGGCCGAGAGCTCTACTTGAGCAGAGAAACTGCAAGTTGTCCATTGCCAGGGGAGAGCAGCTGGCTTTGTTTGCACCGTCCTGTTTTTCCCCTCAAAACTGCCTGTGGCAATTTGTACCTATTCTTTATTACCCAAGGGTTTTGCAAGCAATAAAATAATGTATCTGACTACTTAATGTCCTAATGTGATTCCCTTTTCAGAGAAGCAGCAAAGTAGAAGACTCCTTTCACTTTTCCTCTTCACTGACCATGCAATATTCGTCCTGTTGGGACAGGGTTTTTTGATGTGCTGCTAGAATGCAGAAGAAGATTCTACTGTATTTTCTTCAGATTCTTAAAAGCTGTTTATAAGTAAAGCTCACATTTGGTCAGAAATGATATTAAATGATTTAGATATACTCTTGCCTTGTAGGGAAATTTAATTAATGTGATCTTATATTTAACTTAATTTTAACACTGTATCTTCAGGTTGGATTGTAAAAGATCGATATGATACTGATGGTGAGAGTGAAATGCTTTTTTATTTTCTTGCTTTCCGTTTATTATACTCAGCATACAGAACATGGGCCTGGATTGTTTTTTCCTTTTTTTAAAGAGCCTACTACAATGCCATGTATTGTGCTAGATGCCAGGGAACTAAGAGTGGGCAGGATCGATGTGGCCCCTCTCCTCACCCTGAGTACTTGGTGGGACTCATCTAGTACTGAAGGAGAGAGAGGAGGAAGAGCTCAAAGGAGAGGCATTGGCTCTTAGGGCAGCTTCCTCCCGTAGAAGGCTCACTTGTTCTCTTGTGTGTGTAAGCAGCCTTCCTTGTCCTGTCTTTGCCAAAGCAGGCCTCTGGTTGACATAGTGAGTATGAATGAGGCTCTGGGAACACCCTTCTCAGTCTAAGATTTAATAACTCAACTGTTGCAGAGCCTCTTGCCTCCCGAGCATACTTTCTTCCCCAGCCAGTTGTACTCCAGACATCTGGGGCACCAGATTCCAAAGTTTTTAAGAACAGAGAAGTTTCCAGTTAACTTCTCTCCATAGGAAGTAAGTACTCACCACTGTTTATATTGTTGTTAGTAATACCGTAGCAGTACCACAGGTAATGGCACCAAGTGTGTGTGTGTGTAGCGTAATTGTAAAGCTGTATATTAAAAAATTTTTTTTTCATGGTGGTAGTTGAAAAAGGCGTTTGCCTGATTAGTCTTAGGCTCTGCTAATGTTAATTTATCGAGGTCAGTGAGAGTCTGTTGTAGAGGTAAATGAAAATGGATTGATTATACTGTTTGAAGGAAGCAGTGGCTTAGATAATCCAAAACAATGCTTAATTACAATGACTGTTTTTTGCTCCGTCATGTTACACGCAATGCCTACTGCTAATACAAAAAGTCGTTTGCTGGGTCCTCTTCAAGGCTGCCCAGGGGCTGACACATTCCTTGCTTTCATGGGTGGGGCTAGGTGTGGACAGAAGACAGAAATGCCTGAGTTGAATACTATCAGAGACAAGATGCTGTCCTGAGGGTCTAGGTGAGTGAATAGAGAAAGAATGCTCCACACCAGAGAAGGGTCTTCTGGACTGTATCCTGTGGAGCCTCCAGCGGGTAATCTTGAACTTACATTGCTTTTCTTTCCTGCTTCCACCTGTGAGGTGTGTACTATATATAACTCCAGCCTTTGAAGGTTTTTTTTTTTTTCCCCTTCCCCCTGCAGTTTAAGAAAAGACAAAGACTTTGTCCAGGTATTTTTATATAAGGTGATAATGTTTGGTATTATGACAGTGATTTATATTTGTTACTTCTGTATCTTAATTTTTAAAATGTTAAATGTAAGAATATATAAATCAGATTTGAAGTGTAACTTCAAGCCTTTTATTTGGTGCCTCATTTTTTTTTTGGTTTTCTTTTTTTGGTCCTCAATATTTTTTCTTCTGTTCCCTTATTCTAATACCTTCCCCCAATATCAGTCGGTTACATTTAATATATTTTGTAGTATAAAAACACTTTTATGGTTTAAAAATTATTCTGCAGAGTATAATTTTGGGGGGCCTTGCCTGTGAAATCAAGCTTGTTTAAGCAGACTTGACATACAAATTGTAAGCTTTTATTCTATCACATCTCTTTAATATAAACCTATAAATGGAAATTGTTTCATGTATCTTTCATACACATAACGTCTTATTACTTCATTAGTAACATTTGCGTATACTTGTACCATATTATGGTTTTTAATTAATATATTTTCTTATATTTGTAGTCATGAGTCAGTCTAATATATTAGAAGGCATGAAAAATTACTTATTTCTAGAATGTTAGTGAGGGGGTGAAGGAATATTTGAGGATACATAAATAGTAAATATGGAAGTCTGCATACTGTTGTGTACTCTATTTTGCTGTCGTTGCTTTACAGTTGGCTAGAGTGTAATAAGGGAAGGCTAATTCACCTTTCCTTGTTGGGTGGTATTACCCTTCCAGCAGCGTTGAATTAAGAACAGTTATTAGCAAGTTATCTCTGAAAGAAAGGTTTCCCATTTCATCTTCTGATGACCTTCAAATAAATATTTGGAAGTTAAAAATGGCTGTATAAATGTTTAACAAGATAGTAGATCAGTCTATGGTCTGATTCTTTTCCATAATAGGTAGAGATTACAAAGTGAAAGGTTTTATTGCCAGCTTATACTATAGTGGTAACTTTGTGTTTACATTTGTGTATTTGTTTACTTATTTATTTATCAAAGAGAGAGAGAGAGCACACACACAAGCAGGGGGAGTGGCAGGCAGAGGGAGAAGTAGGCTCCCCACTGAGCAAAGAGCCTGATGTGGGACTTGATCCCAGGACCTTGGGATCATGACCTGAGTGGAAGGCAGACGTTTAACCAACTGAGCCACCCAGGCATCCGTGTTTTTACTTTTAATAATCTTACTATTTGTTTCAGTTTTACTACATATACAGACTTCATGAGTATAATAGTTATACAGAGTTATCTCCAGAACATGTATGAGGGAAATAGTATTTTTGGTTTTTAGAAGTTTAACATTGCTTAGGTTAAAAATAAACAACTGAAGGTATATTTTCTTTGTGTCCTTGCTCACCTCTTAAAGTGAGATAGCAGATCAGCTGATAAGGATGTGTGTCTCAAATGATACGGTGGACCTTCACATCCTAACTTCCAGTCTGATGCATTGCATTTAGAATTTGTTAAATAAGGAAGTAATTGGCACTTTTCAGTTTAAGTGTGTTAGCTGTTTCCTTTTCTTGGTCAGGAAGAAAATATATTTCATGTTTTTTTGATTAGCTATAGTTGAATCCTTTTAGTATTTTAAGGAGTTTAAAACTTTTTCTGTTTTCTGTTTTGCCAGAAATAAGTAAGAAAAATAAATGAATTCTTGGTTGTTTGAGTCCTGGACTGAATGATAAAACTATTTCAGAGTGCACGAGATCCAAAAACATATGAAATAATACATTTTAATGAACTGGATCCTATTTATAAATGTACTAGATATAGATAGCTCAGTGATTTAAAAAGAGGCTGTAAAAAGTTCCTTTTTGTAACCATCAGAGCTTTTTTTTTTTTTTAAACCAAGTCTCTTTCTTAAATTTAGATATTTTGAATACCAAATATTTGAAAATCAGGGCATATTTTTGACCTCTGAAAGTCAACTTTAATCATTGAAGGAAATGATCATATTTTGCCACATGGACGTAAAGGTGTTGAAATTGATGTTCAGACCTTCTATCTCCATGTGTAAACTGTTGCAGAGACTATAATAAAGACCTTTAGTTGGAGTCTGGGGTAGACTGGGCTTATCCAGCAGGAGAAGAGTAGTTACCAGTATCTCATAAACAGAATGCTACATCCTCATTTATTACATCATTGCCTGTAAAGCTCTTCCTGGAATTTAAGTGCTGATGACAAGGCACTCTGGCATCAGTCAGTCAGATGGTATGCAACTCTGGATGGCATGTGGATATTGAACCACTTGTAATGCAACTAATTAGCTCTACCCCTGAACAAAATAAGTGATGTATTAGAGCTTTGGTGTTTGGATGCTGGAGATTTGGCATCTCTTCTCAGCTTTACTGCTCCTGTGTTGTCATTTGTTAAGAGTATATCGTACCCTTCATGTAGAATGTGCCTCTGCCATTTCAGGAGGATTATTAAATGTAATCTCTTTGGGACTCTTGTCTGCCTCATAGGGCTTTATTTTATAGGCTGTATGTTTGAGCAACTTGGAATAATTCCTTCAGGTGTTAGCCAACTTCATTTTCTGTTAAATGACTCCACTAGTTCTCTCCAGGGATTCTGCTGCTGATCACTTGTGTTTCTAGGTTAACTTTGTTCCACATAGTTATGTATTTAATTCTGGGGAGGGAAAAAAGACAATTTTTATTCCTTCACCAGAATTGTTTGCCTCTTTTGCCATTTATGTCAGTTGTGGAGGAAATATGATAACCAAATACATATAAGTAACTGCAATATATTCCAGATTTTGGTAAATCTGCCAAGTTAGAAAGACAAATTAAAGAGGTCTGTTAAGTTTTAGGGAAAGAAATAAAGATCAGAAACCAAAGCAGAATTGATCTCATCTCCAGTAATTCATTTCTCTAGGATCATTAAGTGCAATTTGAATTAGTACCAAAGATATTAATTTTATCCTATAATTATGCAATCATTTAAGATTAGATAAAAAGTAATTTCTTAAAGAATGTTAGGGAGTCTTATCTGATGATGATGCTCATATTCATTTCATTGCTACTTGGAGAATTCAAAGAAAACAAATGTGAGTTTATCATCACCAGCAATAGTTGGAACTAAATCTTACACTTAACAGTATCTTAAACTGAGGGTAAGGTACTGCATATATATTATAGGCATTATGAATAAATACACTTTCCTTTAAAT